ACTGTGTTGTTATGGGAGCAGTATATTGGGAGGCTGCAGACTAGCAGTGATGAAAAACCATGCCTGTCACAAATCAAATGTGTGGGGGATGTTGACGTTGTCTTCTGGAGATGTTCCTGTTTGGTTTCATTTAGGTTTTACAGGCTTTTGAATGGGCTGCAGAATGGGCTGAGTCTCCTATGTTCATTGTTCCTTGTTTCTTTTGTGCTGTTTTTGTATGGCACTGCTGAGGAAGGTTTTGCCAAAACATGCAAACTGAATCAGTGAACTTTCTGCATGATGCTCGGATCAATTTTTTTTTTGCAGGGAGAGGGATTGATTTTGTCTTCTAGATTAAACTGGAATATTTTTTTTTGTGTGTGTGAGAATTTTAGCTATGCATTACTTTAGCCCATTTGTTGGAACATTTTAACTGTGTTTAACCACCAGAACATGTAGCTCTCATGGGCAGTGACTTAGGTGGACCTCTTTCTCCCAGGATTACAAGCCACTGAGTGCAGAGGCAAAGGTAATGGGGTCTTCACAGTTACCAATCTTCTCTACAAGAGGATGCCCAAGCATGCAGAGGGCAATGGAAAGGCAATGATTTAGTTCCTGAGACTCCTGTTTCCTGTTATGAGCAATTGTATAGTTGAGCTTTCTCCTGTGCTTGCTTTGGAGGCTCAGAGGAAACCTGCTGCAGAGATGTTGTGAAGGATTTCCTGTAGGGACAGGGCACAACATAAAAGGAATGCACATTTTTTTGTGCTGCTTTTGCTGGGATACACTGGCTATTTCAGACCTGCTGGTGAAAATTTGATTCTCAAGTGTGGAAAAAAGATTATTTCATTAATGGTTCTGAAGTTTTATAATGATGATGATGATAATGATGCAATCCTGTGTCACAGTCCACTACATCATGCCATAATTTATAAATTCAGGAGTTAGATTGAATACCTTAGGTGACATTGTTTGTTGGGGAATGAATGGGAAAAAATTTCTTGCGCCAGACCCAAAATTTAGAATAAACAATGAGTACTATGTAAATGCAAAGAGGCATAATATTTCAGTATTATTCCCAAAATACTGACTTGTACTAATGAAGACAAAAGTGACAGTAATAGTGACTAGAAGTTGGGAGAGATATTGGCATTTTCAGGAGCAAGAGACTAGAAGCAGTCGTTGAAAAATCTATAATTTGTGTTTCTGAACAGGCCAAAACAAATGCTAATTTAGTTTCCTGTTTAGAAATTATTAAAGTAAGCAGTAATTTGATGCCACACAGAATGCTATAGCATATTTCAGAACTATTACTTGAACATAGCACCATCTACTGGCTAGAGTGTTCTTCATGGTTTGGGTTTTTTTTGTTTTGTTTTGATTTTAAGAAATATTTCTTCTTACATTAAATTAAATTTTAAGTGAATTTAAAAGTGATTTTTCTAGTTAGAGTCAAACAATCTTAGAATGTACTATTAATGACAGTCTGTGTCCCCAGATTATTATTTCCACAGTTAAACTTACTAAAAAGACTAAAAGAATAGTCAGTAATTCTTGTCTTTGGTTTGTTTTCTGCTCGCTGGAGGATTGAAAATACTAGTTAGAGCATGTAATTTTTGGTGATAGCTATGTCTTCCTGTGGGGAGATAAGTAATGCATACAGTTCAAATGTCAATAAAAGCAACACAGAATGTGCTAGCTCCCTTATTCGTTACAGCTAACTGTAACACCTTATATAGATACTGGTTTTCACTAAAACAACTGTAAAAATTTTAGGGGTATTGCAGTAGTTGCACTTTTGATACTCTTTCTAGAATGTGCATGGAAAGGTGAGGTGTTTCTTCTTTCTAGTTTGCTTACATGCACATTTTTATTAATGCTTTCTCTTCTGCTCTAAGTGCTTCTGGCAAGAATAGATTTACTTGGTTTAGCTGTAAAATACCATTTGCTAGATAAGCTGAGCTGTGGGCAGAAGATGGGTAAAATTACCTAATACCAGCATATGACACCTTTAAATGACAGAGATTGCATAAACAACTTTAGTTATTAGCAAAACTTTCTGACCTCTACATTTGGGGTTGTATATGTACGCCAAAGTTATGTTTTGAGAATTTAAACTTTGGGTTTTTCCATTTGGACAAATAATGGAGTGGGTGTAGCAAATTTGTGAAGTAGCTTAAGTTTTTATACCTATTTACTTTAGGGCTTGTGCTGATATTTCTTCATGGGTTTGCTTTTGGTAAATAGAAATGTTAACTTGCTTTCTCTTCTCAGTGATGAAAATACATAATTAACTTTTGTAAAAAGAAAGAGACTTTCCCATAGAGCTCAATTGTCTTTTTTTTTTAACTCATAGCCAACATGACTATCTGTGGTATCTTCTGTGATACAAGCCCTTCCTTCAAAGAACATTTACTGTACTGCATTTTAAAAGATCTTTTCAAGATCAGGGGCAAAAATCAATGTGCACTTGGGAGAATTTTTGCTGGCCTGCAGAACAACTGTAGTACAACTAGGTAATAAATGGATGATGTACATAGGTACCTTCCAGCACTCTTTAGTGTCTAAAAAAATCATGCAAGAAAATTCAACTACAGTACTGGTGTTGTGCATAACATAGTAAGAATCACTGCAAAATCTTCAGTTTGATACAGGTGCCCTTCATTCCTTCAGAGTGGAACTGTGTCAACTCTAACCATTCTCCCCACTCCCACATCCCCTAACTCTTTTGGGCCTAATTTCAGCACTTCTGTTAACCTCTGTACACAAGCCCTCTCTATTAATCTGCATCTTGTTACACTGAGCAATTGTACTGTATTGTTGCCATGTGCTTTCTAATTACAGTGAATGCTGTTTCATGTCTATGATGGACAATGTAGTAACAAAACAGTTTCAATTAATCACATAATTACTGGGCAGTTTTGAAGTAGCTATCTGGCATTTTGCATCTACTGATAATTTTTCTGCATCATGTGCTTGCTGGAAAATAGCAAAAATAGCACAGCTTAGCACTGAGCATTTTTAGCTACTGTAGCAAAACTCTGGATGTGCTTTTGTTCACACAGCTTGCATTCGGAAAATGTAAAGGAAATAATTTCTTTAATTTTCTTTTAAATCGTTGAAAATAAACAGCAAGCACTAACAATTATAATTTAAAAACTCCTTTATTGAGCCTGAAATCCTAGAAATGCACATTTCTTGATTTCTAGAAATTTTGTGAGTTTCTAGGAGTTTTGTGAGTGAAGGATTGCACAAATTCATTAACCAAAGTACTATTAGCAGTGCTCCAAACAGATGTTATCATTCTTTTTTGCACAGTATCTCTGTAACTGACACATGGAACAGCAGTGATTACAATGAGATTATGTGATACAAACTTCTTCAGTACCTTGTGTATCCAAAACAATTCCAAGAGCTAATCAGATTTTGTTTATTGGCATCTTTGTGAGATGTAAGAAAGGAAATGTCCAAGAGGAGTAGGTTTTAAATAATGTAATGGTTCCCATATCATCAGGCTATCAGCCACGTGGATGCCTGACTGAAAGAAACTATGGAAACACTGAAATTTAAAATGCAAGTGGGAAACTGGACATTTTTTAAGTACAGCAGTCAGGCATTTGGAAATCCATGAGGTATCATTCTGGAATAATGCTAAGCTCTCAAAATACCACCTTACTTTGCAAGATGACTTAAGAAATTATCAAAAGGTGAGGAGAAATCTAGGCACAGAGCTGCTAACAGCTATGATTTGGTAATCAGCATCCCAGAATGGCAGTAAATGGCAAAATTACCTCTGTTTTCTTCCTGTTTAAAATTAGGGTATGCAAACTGAATATTGCTCAAATATGACTGGAAGTCATATTTTTTGCTTAAAAAAACAGAGCAGTAAACTTCAATGGCTTAGCTAAAGGGATGTTTGTGTCTATTACCAGAGCTCACGTTGTTATGGCAGGAACTGCATGTCTTTCACAGCTCTAGGAGAGGATAGCAGTCCTCTGTAGGAAGCTTCAGAAAACCTGGAATTTTATTTTTTCAAAAACTATCTGGCAGCTGGCAGGTGCTAACAGTTCATTGGAGCAATTGGTAATTTTGGTAAAGGAAAGAAATCGTCTGTGAAGATTTTACAAATACTTTCTGACATGATGAGTACGGATAGCATGATGTACAACAAATTTCTCCTCTTATTATTCCTTTTTTTTAATATTCAGCATTGCTGAAAGCATTGTTAAATTTCTCTAAGAGTATTGGGAACAAAATTTCTTCATATTACCGAGTGCCATCTCAGTCAGGAGCATTAAAGTTTACAGACACAGGAATAATTCAGTAGCTGGCTCTTCATGACTGTAAGTAATAAAGTCAAAACAGAAAAGTTGGGATCTGGCTCCTGGCTGCAAAGGCTTGTCACAGATAAATCAGAGTCACTCTGCATCTGGCTGACTGTTAACACGACAGGAGGCCCTGCCTTCATTGGTAGTAGCCCAGCCTCAGTTCTGGTTTCCCCTCCTTCCTTGCTACTGGCTTATCATTACAACAAGACCGGTTTAAATACAAAACAAGAAAAACAAGTTCTGCATTTTCTTCTGTCCACAGCCAAATAATATGTATGTAAACAGTGTTTGTAAACAGTAGGTACCATTCACAAGTGCAGAAGTGCTGTCTTCCTTGCTAGAGTCACCCAACAGCTGCAACAGTCTTGTTCCCCCAACAGAAATGTCATAGTCCAGTTGAATGAACTGCAGAATTTTAGGCTCAGTCATCTGATCTGGGAATTCAATGAAAATATCAGAGGCTGTGGGGTTTGTACATGAGGTAGCAAAAAATTATAGGCATATACATATGTTTTAATGACTATAAGATTGATGTTTTGAAGCTCACCAACATTTGTGTTTAATATGAATCTTTTAAAATAAGGCTTCTGAATATTCCTTTTATTTAAATGACTCTGTAATTGCCTCCAACCCTTTTGCTATTTTCAAGTCTCATGCATCTATGCTGCATTGCAATTGAATTGCCACACTTCTTCAGCCATGATGTCTTTGTACCTTGGAGAGAGAAAACAAATATTAAAACCAGACTTTACTGAGGCAACCTATTATTATGATTAAGTTTATGAAACAATTTAACACTTAATTTAAGCAATCTGCTTGCCTGATATGCAGAATGAAAACATTAAGTGAAACTTGGGCTTATAGGTTTTTTGTTTCATTAAGAAAATGTGCCATTTTGATCAATGTATGACATAGCACTGTCTGACTGACTGTCAATATATATATTTTTTAGACTAAAAAGAGACTAAAAATAGACTAACTGCAGGACATATTTACGGAAACCTTTGAACCAAAATTATTTCTCTTTGGGTCATGTTTTGGAAATCCATATTACAAACATTACAGTCTTATTGATATAGGATGATTAGCTGCCTACTTTCAAAATATGTATGAACATTTCTTTGTTTCAATTTCTGAAACAAATCTACTCGATCTTTCCATTCTGCTGGCAGCACAAATGTGTCTAAATACACTGAAATTAAGAGAAACACCATAGATGATGCAAGAGGAGCAGAATGCTTTTACTTCAGACATCACAAACCAGTTAGTTTTAACAAAATATTTAATCAAATTACTTCAGTGAGTGAGCATCAGCACTCACGTAAGAGAATCCAACAGCAAATTGCATGACAAAATAGAGAAATGGTCATCATTCCCTCTGATACAAAAAAGTAAAATTATTCCCAAATTACACTTGATGAACTGACTAGCAGTATAGTTAGTTGTAAAAAGATCAGGGCTTGACCTGATGCAAGCTAAGAAAGTCATCAGTAGGATACTCTTGCCTAAAATGAGGCCAGCTTCTGGAAAAGAAAATAGTGTTTGTTGTGAAGAGGATAGTTTCCAATTCCTACTGCATGACAAGAGACAATCAGCCTAATTTGAAACAAAGGAAGTTTACATTTGGTGCTGAGAACAATTCTCTAAGTATTAGAACCTAATAATGTTTCTTCTAATGTTTCTTCAAAAAGCTCTTAGGAATTCCATTAATTTTCCATCACTGCAGAGTGAAAGGAAGAAATCAGACAAAATACACATTTGGTGTATACCATGTTGCTTCAGTGGACATGGATGGACTAGTTAATTAATTCCCAAATCACCGTATTGTGATGGTGTCTTGGCTCTACCTGTACCTGAATTTTCTTCCCACAGAGGACTCCAGTATAGCCTGGACGACAAGAGCACACGTTGGGCAATATGCATTTCCCTCCAAACAAACACTTCTGGTTGCACACAGCTAAAACAAGAGAGGTACATATGAGGGACACATCTTGGTAAAGGAAAAATGGATGCTATCTCGAGATAGCTATTCTGTTTGTTATAGGAACCAAGACCTTGGAAGGTATTTTCACAGGGTAACACCCCACAGCGTAAGGAGACTTAAAGGTCACATGGAGCCAACAGTGTTCCTGAGTCTATCCCTTCCCTCTTTTGCTTTGATGCAGATTTAATTTGAGAAAACATGCTGAGGGCATGAATGAGACTGAGCAAAGAACATAAGGTGGTTTTAGGCACGTCTTGCTATTTCAAGCTATCACAATGGCCCCTCAGGACTTGTGCAGCAGCATACAGCACTGGAGCAAACCAACACGTACTGCCACGCTCCCAGTGTGCCATCAGATCCTGGAGGGCTTCAGAATGGGCAGAGCCATCTCTACTCTTTATCCTGCCTTTGACACAGATGTGGATAAACTACATCAAGGTATAGGAAGACTTCTCTACACTGTGCATGGCTGAAGCATTCTGAGCTGCACAGAAGCATGAGGTTTCAGGTTGCATTATTCTTACGTGTTTGACACTGGAGTCCTTCCCACTGTGGAGGACAATGACAGGTACTCGGTCCAATACACTCCCCACCATTCTTACATTCCTGAAGACAGATTGCTGCACAAACATCATCAAAAAGTATGGTTATATCCCAAGTGATTACAATGAGTTGTTATTCAGATTTCAGGACTCTCACAAGAGGTGGAGTGCTTTTCACACACAAGAGTCACATCATCTTCACTCAAATATGTGTCTAAGGCCAACAAGATATTAAAGAGAGGCAACTGGAAACAAAAAGCCCTACAACCAAAATCCACATTCAATGGTTGTGCTGTGTCACAGATTTCTACAAAAGCTTGACATACTGAATAAAGAGAGGACCATTAAAGAGCTTTATTTTCTCCAAATTTACCTTTCTAAAGGACACATCTTGTCTCTTGGTGAGAGATCTTTTGTCTGTCATTCAACAGAACACCCAATAAATCAACTCAAGAATATTGGATCCAAAGTTATTTTCATTGACCCATTTGTCTGCACATTTGTCTCTGCTTATTAAGCCATGATCTAACCCACAATTATTTCCATTAATTCATAGCTGATTATTTGATAATCCAATCTCTCCTCCACAGTGCCCAAGAATATTTCACCCCTGTAAATACTGGCAATATTTTTTTTCAAAAAACAACCCCTTTCCAATAATTACAGAATGTAATACAGGGAAATTTATTTTTCCTCCATGCCATTAGAGAGCTTATTGCCCATATCAGTTCTCAAGCCTTGGGTGGGTACTCTGACAGACACTAACACTTTAGCCATCCTCATGCTGATTTTCATGCAGACTGTGCTTTTATCCATGCTGACACAATTTATTTATGCACCATAAATATCTTTATGCACCACAATATCTTTATTAAGATGCAATGTGACCCATAGATGTGCAACTATTACAGTCCAATTTTTACCTGTCCTAAAGAGCTTGTGCCCACTGCATCACTTATTCACATCATGTCCAACTGTTTCCAGCTTTCCAATATTTCACTTTTTCTATTATATCTGGTTTTAGGTCCTACAGCACAAATTGGATTTATTTGATTTTTTTCAACTCATCTCTTTGCAGATATGCAAATGTTTTTATTTAGACAAGAATCCAGAAACAAATAATATTTCCTATACAAGGATTTCACAGTTATTTCAGTCCCATGATTTAGCCTAAAAACTGCATGGTATTAGTTCTCCATCCTAAATTTTGCTGCCAATATATAGACAACTGGTTTTCAATGTGTATATATTCTTAAGTTCTTTGGCACTAACTTTGTATTACTTTCATGGGCAGAATTGCTCTGAGTCTTATATTACTTTTAAGGTATAGATCTCCTGGTAACTACAAGGTACTTACGAGTGTTACATCTTTTTCCTCTCCATCCTGAAGGACAAGAGCAAATGTTTGGGCCTACACATCTTCCTCCATTCATACATCGTGGCTCACAGACACCTTAAAATCAAAACCATCTGCTGTTTAACACATTTAACTGATTACAGAATAATTTATTGTTATTTTTGGATCACAGGAAGATTTTAACACTGGCTTACTTTTTTCACATCTTCTGCCTGTGTATCCATCAGGACAAGTACAGACATTATTTCTTATGCAGTGGCCACCATTTTTACAAGGAGGGCTGCAGACAGCTAAAAGACACAAACAGGAGGAAAAGGCTGTAGTTAGCATTTTAACTTAGTGATACACTTTTGGAAAACAAGAATGCAACAGTAAGATTCTGACAGCTTGTATGGACATTCAACACTATCAGGCCTGCCTTGCAAAAATGATATTAATGTGGTTTGGTGTAATAGTAGTTTGGTGCAATAGTAAAGACAAAATCAGATAAAAAGGAGTCAAGGCTGGCAACTGTATGTGTACAAAAGTAACCAGGCTACACATAACATACAATGGAACTGGATGAAAGCTGCTTAAATGTTGAGTGGAATACAAGACTAATTTTGAGTCTTCATTCTCCTTGGACAGCTGTTGAATCAGCCATAAAATCTAAAATATAATGTAATCTCTGTTTTACACCACTTCCCAGGTATAGTAAAAAAGACAACCCCAACTCAGGGAAGAAATTATGACGTCTGGCTCCAGATCAGAAGGCTGAAGGATAACTTGATTAAAACTGTACTATATTACATTAATATATTATTTAAAGAGAGCCTATCATATTATACATACATACTTATTACCTATCAGCTAACTAACTCGTGACTACCTGCTGAGAGCTCAAGACACAGCTGGATACAATTAGTCATTAACCCAAACAACCTTCACCAGAATCCAAAAAAGCAATCACTTCAGTTAAACCATCTCCATGCCAAATTCCACATGGGGAAAACAAAGGGGCAGAGATAAAGGTTGTTTTCTCTTCTTTCTGTGCTTCTCTTGAGAGACAGAATTATGTCTCTCTGTCCAGAGAATGTGAATGCTGCACTCAGGTACATGACTTGACTGTTAATTTTGTATCTTAATATTTTCTCACAGATTTCCTCAACTAATGTCAACTAAGGAGTGGGGAGAAGAAAAAAAGAAAATATTACCATTCTGACAGTGGGCACCAAAGAATCCATGTGGACACAGGCAAACATCTGGCTTAGTACAGGAACCACCATTGAGACACACAGGATTACACATTGCTGCAGAAAAAGGGTCAGGAAGAGTGGGAAGCTTGACATCCAAGTAAGTCTATAAAATGTGTTTCTGTTTCAAGAACAGGAATTAAACACCTAAGATAATTGCAGGTAACGTCATTCCCATAGAATCTTTACCCCAAAATTAAAGGATCAGTAGAAGACTTCCCAGAGGTGCTGCTTGGCAGCAGAACTAACCTGCAGAGACTCAGGGAAGTGTGGGGGCTCTGCAGCAGAGAGCAGCTGCCCACTGCTGCCACCTGAGCCATGCAGTTCCAAATTTTAAACAATGGGAGCTCCTATGGACGATCTCCCAGGAAGAAGGAAGCTGCAGGGGTGTTACCTGTGCTGCAGGTAGGTCCGTACCAGCCAGGTTTACACTGGCAGGTGTCCGGAGTGAGACATTTGCCACCATTTTCACAGTGCCTGTTGCAAACCACTACCATCCAAGAAGGTGGGCAAAAACAAGGCAGGGGAGGAGACAGGGGGTAGGAGAACAAGAAAGAGACATATCACAAATTATTCTTATTTGTTTTTCAGTTCTTTCCCAAAAATTAATACTGGAAGTAACATACAATTACTATCTGAAGAGGAATTGCTGACCAGAGTAATCTAGTCTCAAATCTGTAACAGCAAGCACAGATGACAAAGGTAAATAAAATGTCTTTCCATGCACATATCCATGGTCTGGCTATATTTAGTGTTAAAAATGTAGACTTTTAGATAAAAATTCTAAACCAAATGAGAAATGAAATACTAAGAGACAAATGGACTGTGTTATATAATACAAGTGCAGCTGCATGCACATAGGAACATGAGACTGACAAGCAATTAAAATTTCACATCTGGGGAAAACCATTAATAATTTCTTCAGGAAAACATCTCATTCTCTTTAGTACTCCTTCACAAAGAGCAGCATTTTTTTGTCAGAATTGAAATTAGAACAAGAAAAACTAAAAACCAGAAGTCCTGGGATTTGAGGAGGAGACAAAGGATTTTCTGAATTCAGGGTCAATAATGCAATGGTACATTCAGGTGAACAATATACAAACAGCATGTCTAAATTTGGATTCTCTGAAGGATACAAATTACTCATGCATGATTTGGTATGTAAAAGACAATTTAGCAAATTTTTCAATTTTCAGGCCAGGTAAAAGGAGAAAAGACACCATAATGTGGTTCTGAATTAAATTTTCCTGTATCCCAGTCTTTCTGACACACCATTCACTGACACCAGCTTCTGAATGTACCCCAGTATCTAATCAATCTGAGCTAATAGAAGTTAAAAAACTGTCAGGACATATGAAACATCTGTGTGTTTTTCTAAAGGTAATATCACATACACAATGTACTCAATTTTTTCCATGCTTGTGAATAATAAAATATAAAATATTTGCAGCTTTTATAGTGCATTATGTTTTCACAGTTATGTGCAAATATTACTTCATTTTCAAAAAGCCCAGGTATGGGAACTTTCAAAGAGGCACAGGTATTATGTAATTTGCTAGCATTAGACAGAAGGCATAAAAAATTTAAACCATAAATTGCTTTCTTGCTCCTGAAGAACAGGAAAAATGCAGTGTATTTTTCTCTTATTCTCTTTTGCTTACTTGTATCACATCTTGGTCCCACAAAACCATATGGGCAGGTGCAGAGATTTCTGGCCAAGCATGTGCCTCCATTTTGACACGGTGGTTTACAATGTGCTGCAGATACAGAATTATGTTCAAAAAAATTGCCTCTAGAAAGATGCATGGATTGGTTATGCTTTATAAAAAAAATGAAATGTTAATAACTGTCAGTGAGCAAAAAACTGGAAATAAAATAAGGAAATATATGCAATACCTTTTATATATGCCTTTTGACAAGAGTAAGTAATAAGTGCAACCCCACTTCAATAGTACAGAGTCCCAGCAGTGGTGGTCACCCTGAATAAAAGAAAGCTAACAAGATTTCCAGACTGTGCTTCCCACTCTTCAGGAGTGTTTAGCTTAAAGGCTAAACTGGTGAACTGCTCTACTTAATGTGAAAGCTAAATTTAGGAGTATCCAATCGTAAGCAACATTTAGAGTGGTTATCAAGAAAATCAGGACATACACCAAAACGTAACTCAAGAATTCTGTTGAAGTGACAGTGAACACATCTTCATGCAGTCAGAACAAACAGTCATGGGAGTTGTTCACAGCATCCTTTGGGTAGTTATGGATTTAAAAGCAAAGACTGTTACATTTACCTTCCTCACAGGTGGAGCCACTGTATCCAGGTAAACACTCACAGATGTTGGGCTTAATGCATTTCCCATGGTTTTTGCAATCAGGTCTGCATAAAGCTGTAAAAAAAAATCAATGGCACTCTGCAAATCATGAATTTGTGCATATGAGTTACCACAGGCAAAATTAACATGCCATACTCACCAGCCTGACAGTTAAGACCAGCATAACCAGGCTTGCATTTACAAATATTGGGTGCCACACACTCCATATTTTTGCCACAGGGTTGTCTACATCTTGCTGAAAGGCAATGAAGAAAACAAAGAAGGGAATAAGGAAAATGAAAGTGGCATTTCAGCACATTGTGTCTTGCCTAATGTAGTGAACAGATCACAGAGAATCCATGATGTTGCTGCTCATAAATGCAGAGTCTAAGATGCATCAGCAAAGTATTTTAAGTGCATCCATACAACTAAAAGCCTGTAGGCTATGCCAATATTAATAATGAAAATGAGAAAATTCAATACACTACACTTTCCACTCATAATACAGTAACAATATGCTTGCAAGTTATGAAGACATCTCAAGATTCTTTTCTTCAAAGCATTTAAGTGCAACAATTTGCAATACCTCTACAAGTGAAGCCATCTCCATAATAACCATAAGGACAACGACCACACTTGACACTTCCATCCTGCCTTGGCTCACAGGGTACACCAGGAAAACAGGGTAAATCAGAACAGGTCACTGCTTTAGGAATCATGGTTTCATTCAATTCTTCAGGAAGCATTTTTGGAGGGACAGTGACTTCCACAAGGGTAAAAGGTAAATTACTCCCTTGATGCTTAGCTAATAGGTGCAGAACTCTTTGAGCATTTCCACCTTTGAATGCTTTGTTTGGCAATGAATGTCCTTGGCTTATACTTGCTCTGCTGCTAGGGGAAGTCTTCCTGCTGCTCTCTACATAGCTGAAGGCCTCAGCTTGTGCCCTGGTTTTCTTCTCAGGTGACATAGCATGGCTCCTTGAAGATGCAGCCTTTACAGCATGTATCAAAGAATTGTTTGCCCCATCAGCAAGGTGACCACTGATGGTGCCTAGAGCATGAGCAATGTTTCCAGTAACCACAGGTTGTACAGAAGCACTTTTTTGAGAGTCAGGTGTCTTCCAGGAGGTCATTGTTTTTACCGTGGAGGCTGGTGGTGTGCTGCTACCGACCATTTCTGTAGAAATAAATCTCTTTGGGACACGTGTAGAACTGGGAATATAACTCGACATGTTTAAAACATTCTCAAAGGATGATGGTTGAAAACCTACAGTATATTAGAAAGAAAAGGGGAAGAAATATGTGAATACCATCAGACTTTTTTTGCCTTTGAGGGTGAGGAATATTTTCTGAACAGATAAACATACAGCCCATTCATTCTGTGCTTCAGGAAATCTCTCCTTGTTCTATGTCAGAATATAAGTATGCAGTAGAACCTAACTGGAAGAATTAGGGAAGATCAAGGTATTCTGATTACAACCTCTCCTGTCCTTATCTTCCAGCCTTTTCTTAGCTGGATGATAAGTATAAAACATGATTTATAGGAGGCACAATTTATAGCAGAAGAGATTTTCCCATATTAGGTCAATAAACAGATTTACTGTCAGCAGATTATCAGCTCCATATATTGCTTTTAACTAGATAACTGAAAGAATTAAAAGAAAAGGTATTACATAGGGTTCATCAGTGTGTCTAAGCACTAGAAGCAGAGATAAAATCACATCTATGTGGAAGTTTATACATACTGATGCACCATGAACAGTATTCTAGAGGAACAAGCCACCAACTTGTAGCACAAGTATTACCATGTTTTATTCTTCAAACTTTTTAATCAACTTTATTAAACTTTCTGCATGGGCTTTAGTAGTGGGATGTTTCAACTGTTTAATAAACAGCAGAGACTGACTTAGTCTCCTCATTCAAGAGAGCACAAAATGAATGATAACTTCTTCATATTCTGCCCAGGGAAAGTGTGTGGTTTGTGGCAAGAAGCACAGCACTGTAATCCCAGACTGGTAGAATACTGTATATGGAGTTTTAGCATTATGGGGCAGTGGAGGAATGAAGCCCTAATCTATTTATAACTAGAAAATGGTTTACAAAAGGTTAAACTTTACTGAATTGCAATAAAGTGTGGTGTCCCACTGCTGAAAAGCAAACCATTGCAGCTGATGAAGAATTATCCAGCACTAGCAGTGTGGTGAGAGAGTCTTCTTCCTCCCCACCAACAATTCAGAGATATAGGGAAAAGACACACATGACTTTCCTACAAAGAAACCCCCTGCAGGCACAGACCTGGAAATGCCAGCAGCAGCATTTACAGAGTTTCAGAATAAAGACATTCACTTGCCATATCCTTCACCTCTCCTTTGCGCTAAAGCAGGAAAATGGCAATCAACATAATGCCATAAACTTTTGTTTATCTCATATAACAGATGTCCCTATCCCCATGTTACCTATTTTATGTCAGTGGTTGGTCACTAAAACAAAAGGCAACTGTAAGAGTGTCATACATCACACTGTTAATAAAATTGCTTGACTGACCCAAGGGATTTGTTGATATTGACATTTCAGTTTCATTTTTCAGATGAGAATAGAACTCCAGTAATTAATAAATTGTGTCAAACTGAAAAATAAAGTGAATAGCATAAAACTGACTAGAACTTTGTCTGCTAGCTATATTCTTATTAGTATGTGAATCAGAAATTCCATTTTCTTCAGGAAAAAATCACCTTTATTCCCTCCAGTTTCTCCTGTGGAATCCTTCCTTTCGATATCAGTGTCGTCAAAACTTTCTGAAAAGATGTGAAGGCACATTAGTAGTGCACAGAAGTAGCTACACCTTTTAAAATTTAAATAAATTATAAACAGAGTTAAAATTTTATTACATAAAAACAACTCAAAATTTAGAAAGTAGATAAAAGTTTAAAAGATTTCTCAAAAGTTTTTTTAACAGAGTGTTTTAAAAATACAAGTTATTCAGAAATTGCATGTAAATAAAAGTTTGGCAGCTGCCTTGGCATGGGTAAACATTTCTATGTTAATCAATCTAATATAAATATATTTTATCAATAATTTATTAATAATTTGTCATATTATGAAAATAATGAAGAAAAAATGTCGAAAACATTCCACTGTATTATTATACTTTGATGTAAAACAAAAGGGATGTGTTTTGTACCTGTTTTTTTCTACTCTAGAAAAGGTGTTTTACAGCTGTATTGACCCAGTACAGTCTAATATTGCCACCAGAGGAAACACAGGCCTGCTTTTCTGACTACTGAAAGAGTTCTAAGCCACTGTTAGAAACATGAAGCACAATCAAAGATATTTTATCTGAATGACAATAAGACAATACCATTCTTCTGAAAATCAAATAATTTTACCATGACATGACTTCCCATCTCCTTGCAGATTATTTGGGCATGGACCACAATAGTAAGAACCAAAAGTATTGAAGCAAAATACTCCAGGGAAGCAAGGACTGGATACACACTCATCTACATCCTCTTGACAATTTTTACCTGCATTGAAATACAGATTATTTTTTTTTAATAGTATTGTGTCACTAGACTTTAATGGTACATTTACAAAAGTACAATGTATGCAAGTGCTGAGGGAAAAAAAAAGTGCAACTATTCACTTCAGTACATCTAATAAGAACAGCTGATAAGGTTTGCTATTCACATTTTTTCATCTCTTATCAAGTATTTTGCTTATTGTAGAACATGGAGAAGGTGGGCTGTGGGGACTACATGCTTATCTGGAGGAGGAATCTCCTGTGTTTCTCTGTGTTGATGAATTTACCTTTGCAGAGTCAAACAATGCAAATTAGCTTTCATAATGAACTAAAATAAACAACTATTATAGTCATGCAAGAAAAATCTTGAAGTATATAATATATTTGTACCATAAGACCATAAAGTTTCTTCATAATACAACAGTAAGTTATTTACAGTGAAAAATTTTAAAAGAAAATTGTAAACATAAAATTAAAATCTCCTATTTATTACTAAACATGATAAACACATGGAAATAAAGCAGCAATTTACCTTGAAATTCATGTGGACATTCACAGTAATAGCTGTTTATTCCATCCACACATCTGCCAATACCACACTGGTTAAGTTTACAGTCATCAGTATTCACTTGACAGAGATCACCTTCAAATCCAGCCACACACACACAAAGATATCTTCCACTTCCAGGTGGGAAATTAATGTTTGTCACACATGAGCCATTATTTAGGCAATCACATGATTTTACACTGACCTACAAGACATGCCCAATAAGACAGTTTTCTTTTTTTTAATGAACTAGCAATGAGTTCTGTAAATAGATAATTTAGGTATCTTATGAGTAAGTGTCATTTTACTGTAATATTCATTACCTCTATTTCTACCTTGGTTGTTGCATTGCAGTCATCTGTCAAAGAAAATGTCAATTTATGGACATTCACTGACACAGCTTTCCACAAAAGGAGACCTGATGGGGAAAGACTGGCACCTTCTGGACCAGAATCCAATGTGAAATGAATAGCAGAGCCCTCTGGATCTGAAGCCAAAAACTGATATAAAAAATCTTCTCCATAAAATGTCTGTAGCATACCCTGAAAAGTTTCAAGCACTGGAGGCTGGTTACCTGTAACAAAGGAGATATTTTCCTCCTCTAAGGAAAAGTTACAACATACTTATAAAAACTAAAACTAATGTATCTTTCTACTAAAGAAATCTCACATACTTATTTTTCTTAAATTCTAATGTCATTTGAATGGCACAGGAAAAATACTTGATATTTTCATTGCTAACCAGTGACAGCTGCAAGCAGGAACCCACCCACTGTAGCAAAAGCCATGAAGGAAAAAGAAGGCATCATCAGTGTCTCATTTCTGACATCATCCTCCTTGTGGAAGAGGTTGTGCTCCTTAGGTTTGGAGTGTTGTCTCTGATTTTCGTTCTCTCATTTCTGACTTTGGCTATACTGAATTCCAGTCTATAACATGGCAATCCCTTGATCCCTTGACATCTGCTGGATGAGTTTCATTTCATTCCTTCCTTTCACATCTCATGCTTGTAGAATAGTTATACCTACCTTGGCTTTCAATACAAGTTTGAAATGGGACAGGATTCACCAAGACAGGCACCAAAAGTGCCATCCAGACAGGACCTTTTCTAATCAAGGCAGAATCTTGATTTCATAAGTCATTCACTCATGAAGACACTGATATGATGCTTGTATTTGTGATGGTATAGACTGGGGTTGGCAGGACAGGCTGGATGGCAAATATGAAAGCTCCAAGAAACATTCTGTTTGGTGAAGGGGCCAAGGTGATGTGTATATCCAAAGACTAAAATTTGCACCAAAAGAGCTGCAACTTCTATGTTGCAACTTTGTACTACAGAGAAGGAAAATGAAAAATTTATACTTGTTTTCCCTTCATTGTATGGTTTCTAACTGGACTGGAGTACAGCAGTCTTGGATGTACTTTCAAGTATTTAGGCCATGTATCTATGCCATCAATGTAAATGATGCCCAGATATTAAGTGTCTAAAATATATGGTATAATTTAATTTCATTTGTGATCTCCACTTGTTTGTAATCAGAAAAATTTGTTGAAAAATACCTGTTAAACCTATATGTTGAAGACAAACATATATGGATGTAGTTGTGCTTAATATCAAGACTCCAAAGTAATAATTAGACTGAAAGTTGTTAATCTTCATTAGTTATTTGTAATTGCTACAGTAGGAGAATCAGGGAAAGTAAATTAAAATATTACATATATAGTCTGGAAACGACAATATAATTCTCAGAATTTTCAAAGATATAAATAATAATAGAAATGCCAAAACACTTACCTAGTTAAACTTAAAATATCATTATCTTAAAGTTAAAAACTTTGCAGACTTTCAACTATTTGGTATTAAAAATACTATTTAGAACTTACTTTCAACAACTGACCAAGTTAACTTTGATAAGTCAGGTCTGCACAGTAAGCAAGGGCTGGTAGGATTTGTGTCTCCTTCACCATAACAGAGTCCATCTATGTTGCACGTTTTCTCCTTTTAGAGAAATGAAAATGTGATTCATTAATTGCTTTGGTTATCAAACTGGTTATGAGTTTGTAAGTATCAAATAAAATCTAATAATTCTGCACTTCTATTAAACAATGAAGCTTGCTTTTAAATCTAAACAACTAATAGCAAGTTTGGTTTTACTTGGTAATTATATGAAGAACTTTTGGTTTGATTTTTTACATTTAAAATTGCCTCATCTCAGCTTCTCTTTCTGTGATTGAAAATCCCTGCTAGAAACAGGAACAGGTATGTTCTGCTGATTTTTCTAGATTAGTTTTCAGCCTAAAAAAATGTGTATTTTTATAATAGAGAGTAGTGAAACACATACCTTTAATGTACATAACCCAGATTCTTGTGGTTCACACACCTGACAGGCTCCATCATATAATATCATTGTTTTAGAATTGCTATAAATAAATCCATCATTAGAAATCTGAAAGGTGAGCAGTAAAAATGGATTAACTGATACAGGTATTGATAGACCAACCTAGTCTCCTATCATGAGCTCCCACTAATTAATAGACACCCAAGTGCAGGTGTCTAAACCCTCACAAAAGTCATCAGAAATCTAATCAAACCTGCCAAGGAGTCTAGGCAGATTTTGACCAGCCACACGTCAGTGTGTAAGGTAAATTGAATTCTGTGTAGGCTCTATTGACCTTATTGACTCCATCTGTATGAGAGCTCAGATATCTGCTCACAGGGATTTGTACTTGTGGCTGAGCTCAACTCAGTTCTACCAAAGATGGATCCAAGGTAATTTGAAATATTCTAGGGTAACTACTTGGCCTTTAACTTCTACTCTTGAAGAATGTTTGTCTCTGCAGGACCTAGGTTGTATCTACCAGTCCCCTTGCAAGAGAACACTGTCAAAAACCACTTGACACTTCAGCTTAGGCAACAAGACTGAGACCCCAAGTTAAACAAGTTGACTTCTCCCTTTAGTACCATTAAATAAAGGATAATATCTATGTGACACATTTTCATCTTAATAGGAACATTTGTAAGTGAATATTTGAAATTTCTGAGAGTACCTTTATTTGCCATCTGGCAATGGGTTTGTCATCAGCCACATCCATGACATCATACTGCTGGCTATCACTTGGTAACTGGCAGACAACACTCCTGGCATTTTGGAAAGCAGCTGGCATAGTTAGAGGTTCTCCAGGAATCCATTGTTTGTCACTATACTGAATGTGAAGACAGAAAATGTGTTTTTCACTGACATACATCACAAAAACTTTTTTACCAGAGAAAAACTCCCTATGTATTGCATAGTGTTTGAGCCAGTCTAATGTATCTGGATCAGAATGTGGTGGAAAATATTAGATGACAGTATTTTCACACACAGATTTTTACCTAAGCCTGCTACTGCAGACAAGCAGGCAGGGAAGTCTTTCCTGATCCATGGTCCTCTGGCACTGCATTGCCAAGGACAAACAATCCTTCCAGCTGGAAGGGAACAGGAGGGTGAAGCAGTGGGTGATCCCCAAACACCACTGATCTGACATCGAGTGCGTCTGCTCCACTCCATCTCTGCTCCCATGCCAGGACAGGCTTTAGTCAAAGGAAGAGATGAGGGTTTTGGCAGGGCTCAGGAATCATTCTGGGTGCCAGGGCAATGCTGGCAGTTGGCCATTTAGCCCTTGTACAAGCCAATAGGTTGTTCGATGGAACAAGACAACATTGACCCACAGACCTTTCTTCTAAACTACTGTGAGGACAGGGCATCCAAAGACCCACCTTGAGAGTTCAAGATAACAGAATAAGGATGATAATCTTATTTGACTGAAGCATTGATGTGGAAGCAGGGCTAAGCATATGGAAAATAAATAAAATGAAATTGAACTAAGAATCCAGGCAGACTAAGAACCAAGAGAACAGCAAGTAAAAAGGATTTTGAGCTTGAGTAGTTTTTACTGAGCTTGCATTTTTTTTTTAGTTATTGGAGCCAATCAAAACATTTATTCAATCCCAATCTTCACATGGAGAGTCATCTGTGATAAAGGCCTTGCCTTTTTTTTTTTAACAGAAAAAGAAACACTTTTGCTAAAAAGACATATATGCTGTTTCTGTTCCAACCACTTATTTTTTTCTTTCACCCTATACTAATTTAAGAAATTCACAGCAAAGCTAAGTATAAAAGATAAATATTTCTAAATATGTAATTTTGAGTGTATTTAGTACTGTAACGTTTTAAATGTGATACAGACTACTTCTTCAAAAACCTTTTGTTACAAGATGGAGGCAAGTTCAGATAATTTTTTCAGAAACAGTTTAACTTTTCAAAAACCAATTAAAAAGCCTTCAGATCTGCAGGCAATCCAACTCATAAGGTTCATGGAAAGTGGAGTTCAGTGTAAAACAGAAGGAAATAAAACAGTATTTTTGTTTTGCAGAGATTAAACATATTCTCATCCTTTACATTTAAATTCTCTATCTCTGTAATCATAGGCTCCTGGGCATTTCCTACCCAAATCTCTATCAAGTATCTACCCTAAACTGGGTAAGACAGCCCATGAACAATAGGTTTGATTTAACATTTCAAAAGTGAAAATACTGAAAAGAAATTCTAAATTCTGTCAAAATGCCTCTTCTACAAAGTTTTGATCATTTAAATTCAATCTCAAAATATGTGCAGTTCTATATTGTTGCAAGTCCATTGACATTTCCTTAAATTCACTATTTCTCCGGCCTGAAAAACTAAACAAAAAACAAAACCCCAAACTTCCTTTCTTTTGTATTCTCAAGGAAAAAATTTACAGCTTTCTCCTCAACTGCAGCTAACAGCAGTAAAATGGCTCTTGTCAGTGAGATGATCATCATTAAAAGTGACTAATTAGGAAGTTTTTGTGTTAGGAGCCAAATGCAGCACCACCATGAAATTTCAGAATATCTTGCCATGAGTTAAAACTGAGACATTTCAAACTGTGATAAGTGAACTCCCAATAACTGTCTTACTGTGAGCTTGGTCTAAAAGTCTTTTATTATAAGGGGAGCATAAATTTACTCTCGACCATCATTTCAAGCCAACTTGAGTGGATACATATAGAGTTTAAGAAAAATCTATAGCCAGAATTGCCTAATCTGTCAAAATAATTTCAGCATTTGCTGGAAATAGCTAAGGAAAATTATTGTCTCAGGAACAAAATTTACCATTAAATGGTTCCCCTTTCGCCAGCTTTCACCCCCTCCATCATCACACCAATAAAATACAGTTTTACTTCTAGTTTTTTTTTGTTCTCATGTCTAACATGACATAAAAACTTGTATACTGACCATTTATTCTAGGCTACAACTTGTAAATTGCTTATATATTTGCCTTGAAAACTTTTTGTAACAATGAGCAACAAAAGTCTCTCTACACAAATTCCCCTTAAGTTTACAGTGAAACATTTTTAAATCTCCTGTTTCAAACCTGACATATATCATTAAATAGCCATGGTATTCTACATCTGGGAAATGGACAATGTATCAAAAACACCTTTATCTTTTTCCTAATAGATTTATTATGTTTATAAAAGGCTATTTCAAGCATTAGATTTGAGACAGAAATCTAGTAATGGCTTTAACCTTGCTGTCCTTTTTCAAAGAAGTGGTACTTCTATTCCTCTCCATAAGCACTTAAAAATACAACGATGTGCTGGTTGTTACTAATAGGAATGCCCTTGCCCTCTTCTGATGGATAGCTGCTGTGTGCTGTTATCTCCCTCCCAGCTGCTGAACATTCCCATTATGTTTTGTATTTCTCTTATCATGGAGGAAATGGCGATCTTGCAAACTCTTGAGTGTTTGCTGCAAAGTGCTGAGTGCCTTTGCTTTTAGCTTCCACGAAACCATTGGGCTGTGCCCACATCAATGAATAATATGTTTGACATTTTGTCCCTTGTTCTCTAAGAAGTTTAAAATGTAATTGTCGCTATTCAGGGAGACCTACTTGCAATTTGATGATTTCACATTTCAGGTTCAATGAGTCCCTGAAGCCATGTCCAAACACTCTCACAGATGTGCAGTCATACTGTCGAATGTCACACAGCCCAGCATTCTCCAGCTCTGTAATTTCTGGAGCCTGGTCTTGGAAGCAGAGATTAGACAAGGAATGCTAGTATGAGAACTCATTCATATGTATTTACATTATGCAGTATGTTTATTTTTCTATCCAACCATGAAAACTATGTAAACAAGAAAATCTGTGAACAGCTGAAGGGAAGCATAAACAGAAAGACTTTACATTGTTACACTGAAACTTTAAATTGAAAGCTAGGCTTCTGTCTTCTCTTGGAACCTCAGTATTAGGAAAAAGAGAAATTTCAACTAGTAACAAACACTTGTGAATATATATTTTGCTTTCTCAACTATGGTTCTTTACATCAGACTTCCAGAATAAAACTGAAATGAAACTAAGGCCTTAGAAATAGGAACTGGAAAGGAGGCAGTTATGCAATAATTTATATAGGGATTATTTTTTATTAAAAACAAAAACAAAAACAAAAAACTCCCAAGAACAAAAAACCAAACTAAACAAAACCAAAAACAAACAAAAAAAAAGCCACAAAAAAATAAACCTAAAAAAAGTCTGAGATGGAAGTTACTTCAGGAAATAAACTGACAGATCAGAGCACTCAAAAACAGTTTTTACAAGGCAAAACCAGCTTTATTCCTCTGGGAGTCAAACATTTCTTTTTATTCTATTCCCTCTTTCTCTATTTGCTCTTAAGTAAGTCATTAAAACAAAAACATGATTGCAAAACAAAATATTAACACGTTTTATTTTGAAAGAGTTTTGACATTGATAGTATTTTTCCAGTGTAATTGTTCAACTGAATTTTTAGTGAATATCTTACCTACTGAAAATGAAAAAACCCTGCCCAGCACTATTTGTTACAGCTCTTTTTTCTTTACTACTAATTCTCCTCCCATCCTAACAGTTAGCTTACAGAGATGTTACATCACCGAAGACAAAAACATCCCATTGAGATTTAATAAACTCATTAAAGGATCACATAAACTATAAAAAACTAGGGGAGGGATGAATGTGGCATATTTTCCCTGAAAGAGATAGCATGTGGAAATATTGACAGTCTCTTGGGGCTACACTCTGCATTTCAAAGTGACTTTTTAAATCTGACCTATTAGAAACTAAGCTTATGTTTTGGCCTTGGAAAGAAGAAAGCTGAATGCAAAATAATTACAGCTGTAGTAAACTGTAATTAAATAATTGAGAACCCTTGCCCATGTACAAAAGCAGGAGAGAAAGGCAGCAAATACACTTTGCACAAACACTGAGAACATTATTGAAGTAAATCTCATTTCCCCCCACTTACCAGACAGTACGCTGCAGTCATACGAGCTGTAGCCTTGAAAACATGCACAGCCCCATTCTGTACACTCTCCATTACCACTGCAGAGACTGGGACACTTCAAAGCAGTAAGGAGGCTCTCAACTGACTCTTCAAGTTCCTGTGGGCTGTAATTTATTTCTTCTAAAATTCTTTTCTCACATTCATTCTCCAGCAGAGCTAAGGAAGCTTCTGCCCAACCGAGGTCATCTTTCAGCAGCAGATCTTTAATGCACATACTGATGGCATCCCCTGTTCGCCGGCCAAGGAGGGCACCACAGGACCTTCCTATGCTGGAATTAGCTACTGCCTGCTGGCACAGGAACAAAGCACTAGATTCAGTGAGGCCTGAAGGTGTGGGCCAAGAAGGAAGGAGCTTCTCATCTGTGTCAGTGGCATGGTCCTCTGGGAAAAAGTAACTATATCCCTCTAAATCTGTTTGGCTGAGGCTTTGGAAGATGAATACTGGATGGTATTCATAATAATTTTGGCGCTTCCCTCTACTTGTAGCAGATTGATTTCTGTGAAAACGACTCCTGTAATGGTGAGAATTTCTCCTAATGTCTAAGTTTGAACTTCCCTCTCTTTCTGTACCAGTATTTCCCTCTGAGGTGGCAGAGAGATGTGAGTTTAATAGTGATGTTTTGTGAAGTTTGGTTTCTTTATTCTGCCTCTGCAAAACTGTAGATGAATCCATTTCATGTGTAGATGAACGTTTCTTTAAGCCCCTGACAAGATCAGCAGGACCAAGATACTCAGCAGTGACATCCAGTCCTGGTATCAAAGAAAGAAATCTACCATTTTCACTTTCTTTACAAGACAAAGGAGGTTCTGACTGAGTAACTGTCTCCAGATTGTTTGCTGGTTGATAAAATCTGGCATCTTCAAGTGTACAGTCACAGAATAACATTTTTCTAGAAGATGTAAATGAAGCAGGTGTCTTGTCAAACAAGCTCTCTCCTGGTAAAATTCTAGTGAGGAAAGGAAAAGGTGAAACTGTATCATCTGAACTATTTTCTTTGTGTTACTGAAGTATTAATTTTTTTTTGTTCTTTGTTGTTTCATGTTTCTATAGCATAAGTCTGCAGCACACAGGTATATTTAAACAACAGTTAAAACACAAAACTTCAAGAGTAACTTATAAAATAATTGAGATGAGTGGATATTTTCTGTATACTTTGGTACTTTGTTCCAAACCAAATCAAACTAATCTTACATCATAGTGCTTAACTACTTATTTGGCAATTCAGTTTAAATTTTCTCTTAAATTAATTATGTAATGTAATTATGACATTCTAGTATCAACTTAAAAACTTAAGGAGATTTTTCTTTTTATTATTCTGACAAGTTTTTAAGAGTGTGAAGGAAAGGCAGAACCAAAAATGATGACATTAGATTTATCAACAGAAGCATTTTGTTACCTCCATTCCTTAATAAAAGAAAAAGGACCATTAGCATGGTTTGGGATTTCCATGCCACTTGCAGTGTGATAGTCATTCTCTGCATTTCCATCAAAGGTGCCACAGAGTCCCACTGTATGTCTGTAATCTGAACTGGGTGCCCTAAGTGTGAGGCTCATTCCCCATTCACTCACATCAGCACGAACGAAAGCTCCAGAAGAAAACAAAACCTAAAAAGAGATTGAAGACAGCCTCATGAGAAACATGAGCTTTTATTTTTCCTATTCTGTAAGCGATTATTTACCACTTACTGTTACTTTTCTTCCTAGGTAGGATTCAGTGATTCTGACATTGCTTCCTGCTGTGTCTCTGTTTATTACAGATAAGTGTGGCTGTGATTCATGGAGCTGACCACTGCACATGTCAAATGCAATTATATCACTTCCTTCCTTAGCAACAAAGCCACAGTTGCAGGATGCTGGGTAGTGAAGACTTCCACAGTCCCACTGGCGAACATGAACTTCAAAATCTCGAGATGTACTCTTATAGAGAACAAATGTTCCTGTTTTAAAATTGTCATAGACTCTGGAATCAAAAGTATAGCACATGATATCACTTTGGTTGTGAAATAACTGTATCACTACTTGTCAGCAACTTTATTTTCAAGCAGATTTCTACTATTTGGTGAACATTGATACTGAACCTCATTTTGTCAAGTCAGAAAAAAACAGTACAGCTCATAGAGCAAAACACAGCTTTATCCTAAGCAAACACCATCAAACCTCCCTCTGAGCAGCTCTAAATTTTAAAAAACAAAACCTTATTTTTTCAGCAGAAAAGAAGGATCATGAGTGGAATATATGTAGACAATGTCTGTGAATGGAAACATGAGCATGAAGCTACTGCATTCTTTGATTCTAACAATGCATATGGAGAGTACTTCTCAACCTTTGTGTTTCTACAATCCTACACCTATGCAGTGAGAGCAATAAGATGCATAGCAGTGTGCATGTGGGGGCAGATGCTGAAAACTGCAGAAGTACTTTTGACAAAATTATTTAGAAAGTCGCATCCTTTTAAAAAGGTCTGCTTTATTAAGATGGAGATGGGGAGTGCTTATTCCCAATGATCATTTAAGATGAAAACCATAAATAGCAACTTGCTTTTTTTCCTTAGGGTTAGCCATCTGTCCCCTGAAGCAAGGTTAAAATAGCCAATTTAATGATTCAGCAGCAAGAAAAAAAATAGAGAAAAAAAAACCAGAAAGAAAACCCCCAAACTTTTGCTGTAAGTTTAATAGCCTCTTGGCTATAAATGGCATTTGACAGTTGATTGTAGACTGTCAATTTGCTTTGTGTATAATGGGGCAGCAGACAAACTGCAGATGGCTGCACTACTGGGACTGCATCGGATTGTCCATATTTCAGTAGGTAATTTGTTTCCTCAGTTTGTAAAATAAAGTAGCAACATAATTTATCCTTAAAAAAAATAAGTTTTTTTTCTGCAGCATCATGCTTATAGATGCTTCAGAGAAACAGTAAAACACTGCTTTATGAGAAAGCTTGATCACAATGTATCCATGGTTACAATGCCCAGTTAAGACATTCCTAAAACTTCCACTGAAGGAGAAACTGCAAGCTTAGGATAAGCCCATTGGCTTTATTAGTATTAGTAGTCAAAGCTCTATCAGAGAACCAATCACAACTTTTATTTCCCCTTCTGTTATCATGTGTGGGTTGAACATCCTTCTTTGAAGGCAACATATCCACGTCTTCTCACCCTGCTGATTGAAATGTGCTTCTGCTGAACAAAGAGTATAAAACTCCCAGGTGTAGAGTCTGTGTTTGTTCAGACATCCTTTGTGAATCAGAAATACCTTGTAAGAAAGAAGCACACCAAAACCAGCTGTTGCAATGAAAGCTGTTTTCACTTCAAAATGCTTTTTGGCCAGTGATGTGCAAGTGGCAGCAGTCAGTAAGTTGCTTTCAATGCCACTAATAAAGGCAGCAAAATGCTACACAGACAGCAGACAGCTTCTAGTAAGTTGATCCTTGCAAGGATTCAGATACTGACACATAGAAATAGGGAAATTATGCTTTATTTGGAAACATCTTTGCAATAGAAGTTTTTTTTACTCAATAATTTTATCAGGGTTCATATTTAATATATGAACATTTCTATTTTTTGCAGTCAACAGACTTCATAGCTACCACTCCTCCTATCCATTTGCTCCATTCCCTTGCCACAACCCCACAACTTGCCTGTAAAATGCAAATATTACAAGCCTCTTCATGACTGGCAAGCTTTTACTAACTAAAACACATTAATCCTTAGTGTAAACAAAAATTGTCGGTCAATTGCAGGAAACTACAGCTTACTTGTATCATCACTACAGATTTAGAATAAATATAGGAATAATTAAAGAAATAAAACACAATCCCCAAAATCCACCCAGAAAACCCCCAACATATTTAATTTTAAGAGCAGCAAGCCAGTAATTACCTTCCATCAAAAGTAATTATATGAGGGTCAGTAAATGAGTAACAATAGGCAGTGGGTAGATCCTTAACTGTAATCTTCAAAACAAAGACAAAAAATGTAAAATATGTAAGGTTAGGAAATAAATACACTCAGCTACATTATTTATGATAGTAGTTTACATTCAAATAAGTATATTATATTGGGATACTTTTAATCAATCTTAAATTATACTTTAATTAATCTTAGTAGTTACTTCAATATGAAAATGTAAGACAAAAAATTCTAATGAGCACATGGAATTTCAAGAAAAAATAAATCAACTAAAACCAACCACTTAGAAATCTTGGTGTGAATCAGCAAGTCACAACTGAAATAAAAGCTTCACTAACACCAGTCATGCTTCTGGACAGTTTACAGATCTTAACACGAAGATTTTCTACCTGTGTGCTTTCTGGAACATAGCCATTCCACAGGAAATTCTCACTGGATATAGGTTCAACTGCAATTCTGGTAATCCTGTCTCCATCCTGCATGAAGTCTGTCACAGCACTGAAATAAATTACAGCTTGACTACAGATTCCATCATTGCAGGATTTCTGGAGAAGATCCACATGACAAGAAGAAAGAGCCAAGTTTAGACCTAACTGCTCTTTACCTGTTTTAAAGAAAATGCATCATCAGTGAGTTCATCCTCTAAATAAGCCACATTCTCCATACTACTGTTAATATAGATACTAACTTATTTACAAATTCTTTCAAAAATTAAAATAATTATGCATTTTTCTTGGGTTTGGTTTGGTCATGCAGAAAACCTCCTCTCTACATCATACACACAGCTGAGACAATGTTTTTGCATTCCCTAGTTTGATAGACAAATGGAAATCTTGATAGGTTTGATAAGGGGAAAAAAAATCATTGTATGCATAGGCAAGGCTTCTCCTTCTGGTTCACAGGGTTAGTGCTTGAGAAAATATTACAGAAAATGGCTATAAGAGTAAAAAATGATGACTTTGTGACTGTATATATAATACTTGAAATTCAACAGGTAAACAAAATTACCTGAATTATAACCTTTATAATTATTACAATATTCTGTCTATTCAAGTTAAAGAATATGGCTCTGATATCAGTGTCTATCAAAACATCTGCAAACTCCAACAAGAAATTCTTTCATATTTTCAGCAGTATCATACAGATTCTGAATACTTTAACATTTCAGGAAGTATTTTACAGTGTAACAACTTCTCTGAAGGAAACTAGCAGAGTATTTATAAAAATATACAAAAATATAATTAAATATACAAAATGTAACAAAATCATCATAATACTTACCTTCATCAACACTGTTTAATGTTAGTGAGATTTTGCAGTCACTTTTTAGTTGGCTAAATTCAGGACAAGGAATAGGAATGCTACTTTCTATTGTCAGTCTGTATTCCCTCCCATCTTCTGATATATCATATGTTTCTGGATGTATCTAGCACAGAAGAAATTGTGCTTAAAAATGCAATCTTTGTGAGTAAACAGCAGCACTGCTTCCTAATCAGCTAGGAGTGCTTATTTACATGGGTTATGGAGCAGCAGGGTATTGAGGAAAAGATGCAGACACAGCAGCCATGGTCTTGAAGAGGTGGGTAAAGGGGCAAGGATAAGGAAAAGGCCAGACAAAGGGCTAGGTAGAAAGGAGGGAGTTAGCAAACAACATTTTCATCACAAAAATTAGTAACCCTTGGAAGCAAAGATAAGAACAGCTTTGTGTACTGTCAAAGTGGACAGTGGGTGGGGGGGTGAAAGGAAGTGGGAAGCTACCTAGAGGTAACCATTCTGAAGGAATTTGGAAGCACCATATTTCTCCTGGGACTCTTCTCCGCAAGCTCACAATATGGATCACCAAAAATGTATAATCAGAGACTCAATTAGAGATAGTAACAGGGGCCTACAGCTCAGCTTGGTAGGATGGGTGGGGTCCTGAATGCAGCCTCACAGGGAAACAAAGAGAGCACAATTCCTATTTGCAGGGCACCCTGCACTGCCGTGAGAGAAATCTGGGCCCCGATCCTACAGGAACAGGTTCAGGCTAAGTCAGCAGGACTACACCCAATCTGTAATTAATGACATGCAGTCTTGTCTTTCCGGGACTGGGGTCCCATTCTTGGCCAGCAAATGGTTCCCTGTAGCTCTATCCACAGCAGGAACTAGAACTAGTTTTCATGCTTAGCCTGTGACCAAGCAGCAGAGCACAGCCCACCTCCCAGCTACCCTCCTCCAAGGCCAGGCCAGGCTGGCTCAGGCTGTGCCTCAAACTTTGTGAGCAGAGCAGCAGTCGGCTCCAGCGCTGGAAACCAAGACCTGCACTGTGTGTGCAAGGGCTCAGCTCAGCCTTCCTGCACCTTGGATAGGTGGGAAGCACACAAACCACTGTGATTCTCCTGCTTTTGGACAAATTTAAGTCTACCTAAGCCGACAGCAGGCTCTATTAATGGTTTATACATTTTAAGTGCCTTCTAGTCAGAGGACTGACTGCTGTAGCACTACTCAAAAATTCCTACCATATTATGTTTATACAAAGTTACCTTAATTCCAGCAAAAAATTCCTTGCTCTCAACTGAAGAACTTTGTATATCTGGCTTCTCCATGAAAAAAGAAGAACTGCTACAGTAGACCTGTAGGATAAAACCAGAATAACAGAATACATTTTTGGCATGAAGTGGTCACAAGAAGA